TACAGGATTAACGTTTTAGTTCGCTAGCAGAGCACTTTTACAAATGATCAGATATATTTTAAAATTATTTAATTATTTTGAAAATTGTCAAATTGACATTGAAATAAAATGTTTCATGAAAATATATACTATTTCAAGAAAATATATTTCCTGAAACAGTATCTATATTTTACTAAAAAAAAGTTATTTCTACAACGACGAATATGACGTATGAGTATAATCTATACACTAGTCCAATAAAGAATATGTTTAAAGTCCAAAAAAAAGTATTAAATATATTCAAAAATATTGTAGATACTCTACCGATATGGGCGATATCAAAATGAGTGACCTTTCTCCCACCATTAATGTCCAGATGAACACAATATATAGATATCGAATCGGTATCTATATTACCCATGCCTAAGTATCTTAAGTCTTTGAGTCTTAAACTCATAGCCAGTGCTAGTCACTCACCATCACGTGAAGTGCAAGCTCGTTTAAAAATATTCTTTTCAAAGTGTATTGATTTGAGTCATAACACGAAAATTTACCCAGAAAATTGTGTCGCATTTCCACAACTCGAAATAGATATCGTAGCGGCATTGTAAAGCAGGCTTTTTATTTTTTATTTGAACTCGGACAATTTACCAGAGGATCCGCCGCTCAGGGATTCCAATCGTATCCGAGAGTGATTTCGGCTTTGAGTCGCGTAGTTTTTCAGGCGTTAGCAGAACGTCTGTTACGTGACGAGCCAGTCAAATGGATGGGATAATGCAGCGGTACGATTATTTTGGCCTTTTACAGCCAAGTGGTTGGTATTAGAGGTCATAGGTGGGACTATCTGTCTTCACCGCATAGATTTACCAAACATAAACAGAAATTCACATTCATGTACAAAATAAATGAATAAAATTGTTAACAATTTAAATAAAAAAAATAAACTTAAAAATTCAATTCAATTCAATCATTTATTGCTATTACATGTTGTAACAATATAGGTCTTAAGTTATTAAAAGTATAGAATCAACATGAACCCTGGAAGGGCACAGCAATCACATTAATAAATATTTCATAAAGTATATAAATAATTTTTTTACATTATATATATGTATCGTCGATTAACATAAAATAAATAAATATATAATGGAAATAGATGCATATTACATTTAACAAAATTACACGCCTCTAATATGTACATTGACGGTAAAGTTAAAATTTTATGTTTAATAAAGTATGGTTTCCCTGTTATCTATGTTAGCAATTATTCTGAGACATTGTTTTTGCAATTTAAAAAGATCAATCACGTTTGTATATATAATGGAATATGATTACCTATAGTTAGGATTTCCGCTAATGATAAATGTACGAATAGAAATATAGTCTTTTTTAAATAACTACAAAAAAATAGAATATTCTGAATTCGACGATATTATCGATATTGTATGTCACTATTAAAAATCGTTTCTGATGATTCTTTTTGTAGTCGATAGAGTGTAGTCCTATAATTATAATATAATAAAAAGGGCTAGCATATTAACTCTAGCAATTACAAATATAATTATTAAAACAATTTTAAATTCTCGAAGACATCTTACACAAAAAAAAACGGACAAATATAATTTAAGGTTGTGTTCTACACAAAAACCTGATTTTAATTTTAGCGAAATCAGTTATTTTAATTTAAAAACTAAACTATTAAAACGATTTTAATAAGATATTTATGGGATTAATCTGAAAGTTCAGAAAGAAAGAACCTTTCAGATAAAAAAAAATCAAATCGGTTTATAATAGAAAACGAATACAAACGAATTGAGCAGCTCCTCTTTTTTTAAAGTTAGTTTAAAATAAGGAACTCCTTCTTTTTGAATCCGTGTAAAAATCCTACAAACTACAAGAGTATTGGGGAAGATATACAAAATACATACATAAAAATGTATTGACGGACCAAAAAAATCCTTTTTAATTTACTTAAAAATCATGCCTATCACATTAGTAATACACCACTTATTCTTATTTTCGGAGTCGATTAAAAATAGATATTTACCATGCCCGGAGCATGGTGTTGACGTAAATTTATTCACGCAGGTTATTTGTAATAGAAATCATGAATTATTCATGAACCCCGGCTGACCCTGGCACTGGATAAAATTCAAATATGCGCTAATTAAAATCAACGTGAACATGTTATATTATGTACAGAATAAAATTATTTAGCAGCACATTATATTATCTGTGGTAGTACTACTAGTATAGTATATATTACCCAAGGCTGTAGTAAGAATATGCCCATGCTATAAAACAAACATTAAGTGATTCAAAATTCTAAAAACAACAAAAAAAAATAAATTTTGCATACTAACTCAACAGCTGAACGGGCTGTGCAAATTTTATGGCTTAAAATTTATTGCTCTTATTATACCCACGTTTATTTAATGAATATGTTTAATTTCGCTAGTAGAACAGTCCCTTCGAAGAGATTTTTTTTTATACAACTTAGAATGGCAAACAAGCTGACGGCCCACCTGATGGAAAGTGGTAACCGTCGCTCTTAACTGTCCACTGCTGAACATAAGCTTTCCCCAGAAGGGGAGTTTTGCCAGTAGTTGCCATGCTTGGCAGGCGACTTGGCGACCGCAGTTAGGCTTTAAGTAATGTTTTAAGAGAGACGCTGCTGCACATCCTTCGCCCTCCCTTAGTCATCTCTTACGACACCCATGAGAAAGGATGGGGTGACCCATTCTGTGTTGAAACTGACACGGCAGCTACTCCGTCTATTTACCTCTATTCCATTCATGTTTCTACCATTAAACAGCTGTATTTGCATAGTATAATATGCTACTTGCTTTTGTAAGTAACTAACAGCAATGATATGTTAAAAGTACTAGTATATCTGTCCATTCAACATTATTACTCAATATCACCTATCAGTCTTCGTTTATATACAACTAGTTGTTCCTTGTGGCTTCGCCTACACAGAGCTCGGTGTCTCACATTCTAATGAAAATTTTAGGACATTCCCTCTTTAATACGAAATAACATCTGAATCACTGACCTCCTTTTGAAGGAATGTTTTATCAATGAAACGAAACATTTTTACTAGAGAAATATTAGTCAAACAAAACCGGTCAAGTGCAAGTTAAACATACATGCCGAAGGTCCCGTACATAAACATATAAATATAAGATATAATATATATACCCTTTATTGCATTTCACATACGAAATAGATACCTAATAATAATTATTTTTTACTATCTATACATATAAATAAAATTGGAGTGTCTGTTTGTAATATTGAAATAACCGTTTTTAACTTTTTTTTTATACAACTTAGAATGGCAAACAAACTGACGGCCCACCTGATGGAAAGTGGTAACCGTCGCCTATAGACATGAGCAGTACCATGGACATAACAGAATATACTGTTTCGCCCATGATACCCCCATGCGTTGCCATTCCTGAAGACTCTAGTGTTATTCCTCCGTACCCAGTAAATTCACACCATATCCCACCCTTCAAACCGAAACACAGCTATGCAAACACAACTGCTTCACGGTAGAAACACGAACGGGACAGAGGTACCCAATGTATATGAATAAACATGTATATGAATATATATACGGTACATACACCAAAATAACAACAATTTATACATATTTTTATCAAAAATTCCGTATATTTTGCGGACCTAATAAACATAAAATGACTGATGAAGTGATGTTAAAATATTTCAAAATATTTTATATTTCAAAACTTCTACAAAATCTAATTATTTTCGTTTGACAATCTGACAAGCTTTTGCCGTGGTCTTAATTAATTTTGTGAAGGTTTTATTACTAAAATTCGTACTTTCTTTATGTGGTACTAACTTTTATCCACGACTTCGTCCGCGTGACCGGAATATGTTTACTGACCAGGATAAAAAGAAACCCATATCCTTCGCCGTCCCATACATTACGTGTATACCAAATATAGTAACTGGTTAAGCCGTTAAGGCGGTATAAGGTAACAAACAAATAAACTCACTTTCACATTTGGAATATTAGTAAGGATACGCTTGATCACCAAGACCAATATATACAGAAAAAATAAGTATTAACGGCCTATTTCATTACCTATATTTCTAGAACTGATATCTAGAGTATCTGGAAAATCCCACAAACGCCTACAGCTCGAGCTCACCAGGCCAAGGCACTCAGACAGGCCTTAGTCACTCATGACTAAGGATCACGAATTGATTCCGAAACTAGTCGAGCTTTTTCGATCTAATTACACGTAAGTTAAACTGTTAATAATTACGTTGAAATATTTCTAGATTCAATTAATTTAAAACAATTTCTAGAAGAAGATGATTCTTTATTCACTTGTATTTTTTGTCTGTATGTTACCGATATTACGATATCTTCACCAATTCCGAACCAATCTGAGATAGCTTCTTATTATACTCTAATTAATTTATTAAACACTAACTGTATTTCGTAACTTCGCTCGTAGTCATATCGTGACCATATAACCTTCCTCGACTAAATGCAAAAAGAATTTTTGAAATCTAACTAGTACTTCCTGAGATTATCGTATTTAAACAAAGAAACAAATTATAAATCTCAGAAAAAAAGTGAATTTATTTTTTTTTTTATATACCAATATAACTCAATATCAAACAAAATTACTCTTGTCCATTCCTGGAAAAGATCGCTCTTAGTGGTAAGGCCGCTCATTGTTTTTTCAGTGTAATATTTTCTTGTAATTATTTTTATTTATAATAAGTTTACTATTGTAATCTTATGGAGGAAACAATAACTCTTTAAAGTATCTTCTATCCACAACCAAAATAGCGCTTAATACATATAATAAGGTGTTCCAGCACTGCCAAAATCTCATGCCCAACAGTTAGACGTAAACAGTTAACATAAATATTTTTAGTCCATTTTTTTTCTATAGATAGATATTTATTTATCCCAACTAAGGCCTCGTAAATGGTATTCCTACACTAATGCGTGCAATCCACTAAGTGAATAATTGATAGTTAGTGGTGCAGTTCACGCATTCGTGGCGTTGGTCGCGGTTGGGACAAACCATAGGGATTACAGTACTCAAGGTAACATAAGATATTTTTTTAATTCTATTGTTAAAATTTTTTTAAGTACACATTATATTTTATTGTAATAACAACCGGATTAACTTACGTAGATTTTAATCGAGTTTTATTTTACTAAAGATCCCGGATGGTCCCGAAACTAGTCGTTTTTTTCGACTAAAATACATGTAAGTTAATTCGGTTGCAGGCGTCCATAGGGTTCAGTGACCGTTTATCATCAAACTATGCTTGTTTGCCATCTTTGTTATATAAAAAAAATCAGTTATTATTACATTAAAATATTTTATAATTATTAAAAAAAACTTTTACAATTTTACCATAATTTTATTTTAATTTTACCTGACCGATATTCGTCTGACATTTATTGATCACATTTATAAAAATATATGGTACTAGCGACCGGCTGATAATGTAACTCTCTATAGGTGAAAGAATTTTTAAAATTTGTTTAAGTAATTTTTAAAGTTGGTTAAGTATTGGTTAAGTTTTTAAATAAAAAAAACTTCCCTCTTTCTATTATTAGTTTAGACAAAATATGCGTTTAAATATTCTAAAATATACTATATGCTTCCAATTATAATTTATATACTGTTATGAGGTAAGACACCATTTTATGTTTAAATTACTTCGAAAAAACTAAATTTTAATTTTGTTTTGATTTGTTTATATATATAGGGATAGTCAATTTGGAACTAACGATTACCGCTTTCCATCAGGTGAGACGTTATTTCATTTATCATCCCCAGAATACATTTAATATATAAATTTGTCCCTTAGTCTTGTTTAATTAAGTTTAAAATTCATTTCACGTTTCTTAATGAAACATTTTCCAATAAATGTTACATTTTTTTAGCCAGCTTCAAAACAGAAGTTTTCAATACGAATCTATTTTTTCCATGTTTGTTACCTCATAACTCCGTCAGTTATAAAGCGATCTGGAAAAATATTTTTTATCTGAAATGATATACTTACAAATTAATTTCATAGTAATTTTAACAAAATTGGTTTACTACTTTAATTTTTAAATCAAAATATATCGTTTTGCTATATTTTTTTTTTGTTGAACTCAATCTTAAATTATGAGAAATTTCATACATACAATCATTTAAACCTCCCTTTGGGGGGAGGCTTATGTTCAGCAGTGGACAAATATGATGATGATATAAACTACTTAAACAGGAACGTTAGCTAATCACTAAAAGCACTTTTAGTTATAAAATTTATAGCTAACCACGTCCGTAAACCGGCAAATGCACGGGAAGTCTGTACGATACACCGTTTATTTTAAAGTTTTGTAAAATAGCACCTGACTGTATTAACTATAAGTCGCGAGTCGAATATACGTGTTTTATCCGGATGCTGTCTGTACATGCAGCTACTTATATTACAGAATCGGATAGTTTGTTTCCATTATCGTGAACATCCGATTTGAGAATAATGGACATATTTTTTATGCAACTTATAATTGCATGTAACTATCAGATCATCAATTAATCATTCAATCATTTGCTTTATTCATGATACTAGCTGAAAACCAGTGCTGTGCGGCTTTACACATTGCACTGGGACACTCATAGCATCAGCTGAGCCAGTTCCTTTTGCCTAATACAGTACTTGTATATTACTATATTTTCTGTTATAACTATGTGTTCTTTTGGCAATAAATATTTTCTATACTATTCTATTCTATACATATTTAAATAGCTAACTGCATGATATCATAAAATATAGTTTGGTTCGCTTTGTTCTGCTGTTATTGGGTATATAATTATTATAAAACCTAACGAAAACTAGTAATCGTGTCCTATAGACTTGAAGAGCACCATAGACATCACAAATTGTTGGGGGATCAAATAGCCTCATTACTAGCAATATACCCTGTTAGATCGACCTCCACATGGTTCCCGTGGAAACCATCGTGATTAATTCCAGTTGAATTCATCAGGATGGGCTAACTGACCTGCTTTCATCCTCATCTGTTATCTTTCACTGGTGTGCCAGTATATACCGATAGCGCAGGCGGAGTTACTATACCTTTAAAAAAAACTGAAATTCTACCGTCATACTATACTTTTTGTACGTACAGGTATATCTCGTGCCGTACAACAATGGAAACAATGTACCTATGCTTAACTCATATTAATTAGTGGCGCGGAAGCTCTGACTGCGCTCATAATCTGCAACGTTAGCATTTGTGTAGGTTCGATACCACAGATCTAGCAATACTAGAACACTACTGTAGTATATTACTTTCACGTACTGGCCACTAATAATATTGTAAGTACAGGGTTTTTTTTTATGCAACTTAGAATGGCAAACAAGCTCACGGCCCACCTGATAAAAATGGTAACCATCGCCTATAGACATGAGCAGTACCATGGACATAACAGAGTATACTGTCTCGCCCATGATACCCCCCATGCATTGCCATTTCTGAGGACTCAGATGTTATTCCTCTGTACCCTGTAAATTCACTGCCGTATCCGCACCCTTTAAACCGAGACACAGTCACGTAAACACAACTGCTTCAAGGTAGAAACACGAATGGGACAGAGGTGCTCAAGCAAACGAGTTTTGTACAAAGTCTCTTTCTAGTGCAACTGGTGACTTTCTTGTGAGCCTGTTCATTTTTACCTGATCTATGGTATCTCCAATATAACCATAATGCACTTCCACACAGTAACTATCGCTGAATAACCTACTGTTCAATAATACAGAGTTAGTACCTAGCTGATTTAGTAAATAAAACCAACTTCAATGAACACACACATACACACAAAAAAACCCTCTCTCTCACACACATATACATACTCACAAAAACACTCTCTCTCACACAGCCACACGCACACGTATACACACACGCACACATACACATACACATTCTCACATATACACATTTTTTCCTGGATCACTTTCCGCACCACCGGGTATATAATGCGGTAACTATAGGTAAATAACAACTAAACTCTTCACTATAAAAACATATGCAGGACATTAGAGAAAGACAAGATAGAGTTATCAAAACTTTACATTTTTAGATACTAACTTTCACAATGTCCTCTATGACGCATAAAAATAATCACGTAAATTTGGGAATCTTCTTCTTTTTTGAAATCCGTTGAAAATAAAATTGTAGTAGTCATACGTAATCGAATTTCTAAAATCAATTAAAAACCGATAAATATTTGGTAGTTTCCCATTGACATTATCATGATACTAAAAGTACCCTAATTGCTTACATTTTCATTTTTAAGAGATTCATTCTGATGTCTGACAAAATCTACGTTATCTGTCAATTTTCAGTATCATAGTACATACTAATATTACAAATATAAAAATAAATTTATAACTCCTTTTTTACGTACCTATATCATATTCCCGGTCACCCATATGAAGTCACGAGTACTAAAAATCATTGATGAATATTTAAAATCGAAATATATATGTATATAAATATCTAAAATCGTTTAATACTTTTTTCGAGAAAAAAAAAACTTTACGAAGTTTCGCATATTTACGATGCGATTTTTATATTAATATAAACGACAGTGGTAAGAATCGCCCTATTACGTTAGATTCATACATAGTACTTATTTTTTTCAAGTATAATAATACTCGAAAAAAATATGGACATTTCGAGTGTTACAATCTCCAAAACAGCAACAGTCAACTGATGTCTCTGACTACCATATTTAGAATTACAGTCTTACGCATATTTAACAAGGGTCTTATTTAACTTGCTTCTGTAAGTCTTTCTGATCAAAATTTACAAGTTATTTCTTAACCACTCATTATTTTATTATTATATCCGCCGTTAACTGCAGAATATAGACCTTCGTAGTTACCACGCTTAGCGAATTTAAACGAATTGACAACCAGTCAGTCAAGGTCTTCTCGATACCCGCCTGATGGTGAGAATGGGCAAGGTAGTGGCCTCGGGGCGAATCCCATTGCCCCGGCATCTTCTCCGAAGGCTCCTATCTCCGGGTCGCTGGGTTTTAAGCCGGCATACACAGGTGGTATGTGTATGTCGGCGTATAGACATCTAATATTTGATATACCTATTTATTTATTTATAACATATACATATAAGTTCAGTGACAATGTACTGTTATGGTATCATCGAGCTACTCTGAATTCATGAACTATGTATGACAAAGCCTTGACAAAAACTATAACCCTATATTGTGCCCAAACCCTGAAGGCTATAAAACCCTATTTTAAAAAAAAAAATTTAAACAGGCTTGTTTTTTAATACTTATAATAATTTTATGGTAGCTACACATTCGGAATGAAAATTAAGTGAATAACGCTGCTTCAGAAACAAGCATCAAATATTTAATTAGCTCGTGCTGAATTGGTGTACCGCTTAAATTACACTTTATACGAGTACATTATATTAAACAATAAGCAACTACTTTGAAACAATATATTGTTGAAGTTGTATTCGCAATGTTTGCGCAATTCTCAACTATGATTTCTCGTTATAATTTCTAATTATAGACAAAGATTTGTACCGTATTTAAGTACGAATCTTTGGATAACCTACCTATACGAATAATCTAAGAAAACATCTTCAAACTCTTATGAAAAATTAAACGAAAAGACGTTTAAATTGTTAAGATTTTTATTATATCTTAATATTAAGAGTATTGCTAATGGTGTACAAGTGAAGGATGATAGATGAAGATGAAATCAGCTCAGTTAGCCCATTGGTACGAATTTACCAAGAATTTCTGGGTAATTATCTACGATGGTTTCTAATGGAACAGTTTCTAAGAGGAACCCGTGGAGAGAAATCTCATAAGGTCTAATTCCTATTAATTCCCGTTACTGTCGTATACGCTGATCATATTAGAATTCAAGGTACGAGCATTTTGGGCTTTTTCCCCTATAGGAATTTTAGTCGGATATTTAAAGTTTACCGTGTTTAATATTTTTGAACTTATCTCATTTACACTTAAAAAAATAATAGCATTTAAATACTTATTACTCGAATT